CGTCTTACCGTACTTTGTGTGTGGTCGGCTGGAAAATCTGTTGACTTCTGCATTTCTACTTTTTACTGTTCATCGGCGCACGTTTGAGTGCATTGAAATAAATATATAAATAAATTGAGGAAGAAGGAGGAGGCATGACTTTTTGATGTTCGCTTCAAATAGGACATTACATAGGGGCAATCATTCATGAACAGGGTCGAACAAGAGGGTGTGGAACACATCCGGCGGATAATAACCCTTCAACCACCCCCACTCCAGCTTTATCGCCTACCGTAATTTTAACGCTGAAGGGCTATATGCATAAATGATCACAAATTCGTAGTTAGCAAGTCAGTCAACCCCTATGGGCCAAGTTTTAGCGAATTCTGGAGGTTACCGTATCGGACCACCGCCAACTAAGTGAAGTGGTCATTTTCAAAAATAGTTAACCTTAACTCGAAGGTGAACTACCTTTCTTTATACAGTACAAAGCACTAATCCTTTTTTGCACATGAAAAATCCCGATTTAACTGATCTCTATACGATGGAATTAGGAGCCAGCCAAAATCTCATTTGCCCCATTTTTCGCTCTCAATGGTTCTGTTTTCAACAACTATTGCGCAAACAAAAGAGGACGGATTTAACTCTAGTCATTTCCGCAAAAACTACGAGATTTTAGCTATCTAATCGTTTATGTTTTGCTCGCTAAAGCTCTCCTCGAAGGTAAGTTAATGGGGTATGGCACAACCCCAGAAAAGCTGTGGCTTCGCGCCTTTCTAAGGGTTGTGCCACACCCCATTAACTTACCTTCAAAGTATTCAAATATGTGTGGTTTTATATTGCCACTCTGCTATACTTCCTTTTCTATAAGCAGGAATGTCGTTTAGAATCGCATTATCTGAGAAAAGATGTAGTCATTTCTTCCTTACCTATGCAAGTGGAGACTATTGCGAGGAATTGGATTACGGTAATATGTTGAGTCTGCGATACTGCGTGGACCGCGGGAAGGTCTCAAGACTGAATATATTCGAGAGCCTAAACCTCGTAACTTCCACAAAAGTGATTTTAGCCTGATTGATCCACTCTGAGATATTGAAAGCGAATTGTAACAAACAATTTTGGCTTGCTCTTGATTCCATAGTTCGAAGGCTATTTGATGTGAGATTCTCAATATGAACAAACAATGATAGTTCATTGTATTAAATGCAGGAAAATATAACTCACCTTTAAAACAAGATTGACCATCTTCGAAAATGACCATTTTACTTATATGGCCCACTATTAACCTCAGAACTCGCTGAAACTTTGCCCATAGGGAGTATCTGACATGCTAATTACGAAAATGATGTTCTTGTGATTTCAGAATTCTTTTATTATGCTTACTGTACGTATGAGATGGAAGGCAAAACATCAATATGCTAGTAATTTGCATAATGCCTATCTGACATCGTTTACGAATATGATGTTGTTCCTAACATCATATTCGTAAACGATGTCACCTATCACCTTAATAACGATCCCCCTCCATCCCTGAACACTCAATGCGACCTCCCAATTGTGGTATGCTACACGCGACGCTCGACCCAGGTCAGCACGTCGTATACTCGTATGCATGAAAATCTACGGAGCCGAGTGAGCGACTCCTCTAGGCTTTCATGCATGTAGGCCAGAAAATAACACCACTTTGGGAATAACAAGTGCAACTGTTGAATGTTTAGTTGTTTGTTAGCATGTTTTTCCTCTTTTTGCTACCGAAATCAAGTATAAAACGTCTCATTCGCACATAATCACAAATTTATTTCTTTTCTCATCTCATACTCTATTCACCAACTCCCTAGACTCTTTCATTTTCAGTTTTGTCCGTCTAGGAAAAAACTTCTTCATCGGTAGCCTAAGAAGTGGCAAGCCGCTATGATATGCTTGTGCTGGAAATCCGCTTTTTTGACTTTCTCATGTTTCGGATGTATCTGCTTCTGTGTGGTAGATGATTGCAAAAATATTATCTGCATCGTGCAATTTTAACCACATACGCTTTGAACAAATTGTAACAGAACGTCAAACTCTTCCAATTATAAGCTATTCTGTCAGCGACATATCGTTATTGAATATTTTGATATTTTGATAATATTGATTATTTTGATTGTACGTTCTTGAAAACGTTTTGCAAAGGTGTTATGGAAATAAATTTGATTTTCATCGATATTATGTACTTCAATACTTTCATCGCTCGGCTAAAGACGTCAGTGTGATTGTCCCCCTAATTATAAACATGCAGGCTCCGGAATATCCAAACCGCAAGTTCCTTCAAATGAATGCTACGCAGATAGCGTGACATTGCTTCAAAAGTGGGTGACGTAGGAAAGCCATTCTAAGGCCGCGATACTGATCCAGAAATTTGGGATCACTATGAACGCAGCCTAAGCTTTTGGGCTTCCATCTCCCCTTACAGCGCCAATCTCTGACTTCGTCCACCATACGATTACCTTTCCACCGTCAGAGAGTGTATCGCAATGCTACAAGCATACGGATCTCAACTACTCTGTGTCTTCGCCATAACGGGCTTTGTGTCCACTCGCCCATGTTTGAGATGGGCTGTAAAAAAATGCTCGTTCTAGCCAATTTCATGCATTCCAAAGTAACTATTCGTAATCAGCTGAGCGGATTATCCCAGGAAGCGAGAAACAAATGCTTTGAATTTGTCGAGCCACTGCCTTTAAGGAACTGCGCAGTTGGTATTTTTCAAGTTGTTATTTTCAAGTTGTCAAGTAATCTATAATTTTCCAAGCATGTGTAGTAAACAGTATGCATATCGTTTGTTCCCCAGCGAGATTCCCATAGGTACCACGTCATCTCGCTGCCTTTCGCTCTTTTGAACGTGTGAACCTTGGGCAATCCCTTTGAAATCTCAGGAGAAACATGTCAAAAAGAGCGAAAAGCAGCGTCGCACCACATAAGCACGCTGGTTCACATAACTCTTCTAGGGCATACATGATACATTGTCTGATTGTATTATCCCTCTAGCTGAGGTGTCCTTAGTCAATCTCTGGACCTACTTTAGAGCATTAGGTTTACGGTATTGTATCGAAATGTTCGAGATTTAGAAATGTTCTGAATCTTGGAGGGCTGTGTCTCACCTCAGAAAGTGACAAGTTGTCTAAAAGCTATTACACTAATCTCATCAGGTTCTGACGTCTTAATCAGAGCTTTTGCTCTATCGCAATACTTCGTTCATCTATTATGTGCCAGTACATCAGTGGTGTGATGAATTTTTTTTTTCAATGTTAGATTCTTCCATTCAGAGAGATCCACACATTCGTAATGTTGTAAGGCCAGCGTTCGTTCAGTGTTACGAATTTTCAAAACTGAAACGACGGCCATTTCACATTTGCGCTATACATGGTGGACATCTTCGCCACAATCCTTCAGTAGTGAACAACGATCAATCATGCTTTGAATGAGCATAGTAGAATAAATCTGCAGCTTCCAGATAACATACTCCCACTCTGAGGCCTGGGACAGAGTTCACGCGATTTGATCGTCGCGATTTAATCGCTAAAGACAAGTACGAGTTCATTGCATGTCGATCTTCTCGTGACTAACTATCAAACCGATGTACAAGAAGACCGGCATGCAATGAACTCGTAACACTTGTCTTTAGCGATTGAATCACGACGATCAAATCGCGTGAACTCTGTCCGAAGCCTGAGACAGGTAAGCTTGTTTCAGATAATTTCTCGCCATGGCTAAACTTATTGTTAGCATATCCTATATGCGTTTCATGTAGGCAGCAATACTTCGAGTAGTAACACTTCTTCTTCTTCACCCCACCCCACCCTTCTCCCTGCTCGGAAAGGTCATACATCATAGTAAGGACATTTTCCCATTTTGTTATTGACACATTGACACATTTGACACATTCACGACAGGGCCGATTTTTCGCTGACTGCCATTTCGGACCAGAGCATATTTCGCAAAATTGAGTTTGCGGAATATTTTGAGGTCACTGATGGGCCCTGTGGTCTGAAGTGTTAATCTTTTGGGAAGTACTCTAAGAGGTGTATGCAGGAGTTTACTCGACTTGTCTAAAAAGTTTCACCGTGAACAAGCAAAATCAAAAACTTCAGAAAGCATACGACCCACCGGTGGGTCGTATTGTCGTGAATGTGTTAAGACGAACAATATGAACTTATTGATCAAACGAGAAAAGGACTCGGATCAGCTGAAGTATTGATGAGGGAATAGCGAATTTCTTGCGTTTACATTATACAACTGATCAACTTGCAACATGGTGCTGGCGATTTTCTAGCCGTTGGAAGGAAAGGCTTCAGATCTTGTTAACATGAACGGCCTAACTTCTAAGCTTTATTTACTCTGACAAAACGTTGTGCTTATTGGGAACTAAAAAGAAGGCAAACAGCCATCTCTGGCAAATATCCATCGTCGATAAATATATGGCAATTGAAGCTATGTAACTGACAAGGGAAGTCACTTATCTTAGGTTGGCTTTTGAAACGAAACACATATATTTAGAATCAGCTCGGAACGCTGATTCCAAATATGTTGTTCTTAGCTGCGAAGCGTTTCTCCAAAGCGAGTTATAGCTTTTTAGCATGTGTCATTGACATTCAACTGAATGTGGAAAAAAGGCTCATAGCTGAAATCTGCTCAAAAACATAGTAAAAAATTGACAAGACATCAAATTGAGTCATTTGGCCTTGATAGGATGTATTACCGTTTGAACTGCTTCCTAGATGATGATATCGTAGCATCCGTATGTCGGTCAACACGCAAGCTTTGCTCAAGAAAAAAGCTCATAACTTGTTTCAGAGTAATACTTCGCAGCTATGGATAGCAAATTTAATCAACTTTTGAGCTGATTCTGATTGTGAGTGTCGCTTTTAAGAGGCCGACCTAAGTTAGGTGACTTTTCTTGTGATGTGAGTTCTTAGCGACCATCCCTCAAATACTTTAAACTTTGTAAACTGTGCTTTTGTGTGCATTCATGTGTCAAACTTCCAAGTTGCCACAGAACATTTCATTCATAACCACATAGTGCCTTAGAACTGGAATAACGTTGAATGTCTTCCTAAAAGTTCACGTATGTCTTGCAAGAAGAATCGACTTCGTCACGTTGAAGAACGTAGCACACATACTGCTCGTTAGATTCGAGTAGATAGTCTCCAACACCATACAGGGCGCACACGTTCCCTTTCTGCATAGTTGCGATGTTAGGCTCAACTCTATCAAGATATAATATCCATCTTTCGTGTTGGCCGAATCACTCAAGCAACTTAAAGGCAGTGTTCAAGCAAAAAGTCGATTTCGAGATTTTGTGCTTACCTGGGCCTATCCGCCATGCTGAACCGAAAATCAACACTGGAGAACGCGAAAACGGCGAAAAACGGAGGAGGAAACTTGCGGTGGGCGGGGCTGTTCACATAGTAGCGTCATTCTCCCAGCTTCAGGAGCGATCTTCTCGCTTCCGTTAATCGCCATAACATCACCACCAGCCAACTACGAAACGCATGAGATAAAATGCGAACCGAGAAGATAGCTCCTAAAGCCTGGAAGAGTGGCGTCATGGTGTGAACGGCCCCGCCCACCTCCAATTTCCCTCCTGCGTTAGGGCCTTTTTTCGCCCTTTTTCGCGCTTTCCAATGTGGTTCAACAGATTCAGATGGCGAATAGGCCCGGGTAAGCACAAAATCTTAAAATCGACTTTCTGCTTGGACACTGCCTTTATTCGTATGCCAAGATTCATCGAAAGCGAACGTGGAACATTATCCATATTTCGATTTCAACATAAAGTTAAAATAAGAGGATCGGTATTATTTATTTTTGCAAAAATATGAAAATCGAGTGAAAACGATAAATGAGACGATAATATAGGTTGGGAGAAAAAGCTGGTTCATTTTTCAATAATTTATAAAAAAGGCATATCGAGATGCAAGATGTCTCATTGAGTCCACGCTTGGATATGTCTACCTCTATGGAGCTCGTGGATTCGTAAATTTGAGAAAGGACCAAATTCAAGTACATTCGCTTTTGCATCTCAATATGAAATTAACTTTGATTCAACTGGCTTGGCTCCTGGAAAGCGGGCTGGGTGGGGGACATTAGGTCGCCGAAAAAGGGCGGTCCCCGCGGTCATTTGCGACAAATACGCACCCTTGTACATGCGCGGAATGCGTTCCTGCAGGGAATCCGCGCGGGACTCTTCCAAATTCGGCGACCTAATGTCCTCCACCCAAGCGGGCTTTGTGACCTAATTCAGGCCGCTCGCGCCCGTAATGCACCTGCGTCTCTTCCGCGCCAGTGCTCTCTGACCATTACCTAGGCCCTAATTAGGCCACCTAGTCCCGCCTTCCAGAACTCAAGCCAGTTGAATCAAATGGTTAGTGCAATGCAGTTCTTGTCAAGAATGCCTGGACAAGGATATTGAGCTCACAGAATAAGTAGGTTTGTTATAGGTAAGAGTGGAAGTTTTGCCTTACTATTGGTTTTAAATGGACTGCTGACTAAGCCAACTAAGGCTCCCGCCAGAGTGCCGAAGCCATGCCAGCGCCACGCCAGCGCCGAGCCAGCGTTTCGATCGATACACGTGTATTTCGTTGGGGCGGGGCTAGCTGACCTAGTTCTCAGCAGGTAGATGTCCCGAACGAAATACACGTGTATCGATCGAAACGCTGGCTCGGAGCTGGCGTAGCGCTGGCATGGCTTCGGCACTCTGGCGGGAGCCTAATCAACGAGATTGTGTAAAGATACGCAAACATTTCAGCTGCGTTAATTTTATTTTCCATGAATGACAAGAACACTGGGATCTGTAGGCTTTATCCTGAAGATAATGAAGATATCACTAAAGATAATGCTATATTGACGGTCTTCTATAGATTTTACCATTACTTTGTGATAGTGCAAATGACTCACTGTGTAGAATCTTATTGCGGTACAATTCTTGTTCTCATAGCATCCAGCAAAGCACTCATTCAAATCGCACGAAAAGGTCCCAGCAGATTTACCGCGAATCGCCTCCACTTTGTCAAAAATGCATGAGAAGAGACAGTCCTCCTAGAAAAGAATTTTTTAGCAGCTTAGAATAGGAAGATGAGGTGTCTTTAACGTTGAAAATAAACCTGGATAAGGAGCAAAACGAGGGTAAGCCACTTCATCTCTGTGAAAGCTGGCTAGTACCGACCGCTACGCTCGATGCTTTCCAAATGGCTTTCCCATAAATGTTCCATAGATACCAACGAATGGGATAGCGATTTGTTCCCATAAAATTGGATGAATTCACCAAATCTCAATAGGTTTCCTAGGAGAGAGTTTCTGCTTTTTAGGATCATCAAGATTATGAGTCTCAACATTGAGTCTTTTTATCCTATGTGGTTTTTGAGTAGTACGTTTTCAAGTAGTTGTTTTGTGATGCGGTTATGTACAAGTGCAGACTATGATAGAGGAACATGAACTTACAAATGGAGATGCAAAGACCGTATCAAGCCCTGGTTTTTTTGTTTTTTGCTGGAACTTCATAAGCCTTTCAATAAAGTGATCGGGAAGTAATGGGACACTTCGAAAATTACATCGTTCTTGAGAAAGAAAACTCACTAGACGCTTAAATTTCAATATCGTTCATTCGTTTGCCGCACGAACTGCTCTAACGCTGCGGGCCATGCGCAACGCGGCTGAATCGTCGCGAGAACACGACCTGTACAATGGCGATTTGTACTAGGGCAAGCGTTTTACCTCGCGGCGCGTGCTCAGTGATGTCCATTCGTGCGGTCAACGAATTGACTGTAACTGCGAGAACATAATTCTCACAGCGCACAGGCGGCGCGCATTGCTTTCCACACAACCAAAATCTATATGAGGCCATCTGTTTATGTAGTTCTTTATAATTGCTGAAGAATAAAGTCATTTACTTACAAGGCCTTTTGAAATGAGACACATGTTTGAAAACAGCTCGGAACGCTGATTCCAAGTACGATGTCCCTAGCTGCGAAGCTTTCTTCTGAAGCGAGTCATGAGCTTTTTAAGTTACATATGTGTCATTGACATATAACTGAATATGAAAGAAGGCCTTTCGATGAAAATCTGCCCAAAAAGTGGTGGAAGATTGAAATAACATCAAATTGAGTCACTTGGCTTTGACAGGGTGTACTATGCATATGAACCACTACCTAGATGATGATACCGTAGCATGCCTAATCGGTCAACACGCAACGTTTGCTCAAGAAAAAGCACATAACTCGCTTCAGAGTAATGCTTCGCAGCTATGAAGAGCAGATTTGAAATCAGCGTTTCAAGCTGTTTGCAACTATATGTGTCTCATTTCAAAAGGCGACCTAAGTTAAGTGACTTCCCTTGTTAGTGCATTTCTCAATATTGAATAGTACCCTTTCAGTGAAATATGCGAAGCCATTTGGAGTATCAGTGCTGCACTGGGAAGGGACTGCCACGACGCAAGGGCAGTGGCTCGGCGGATTGCCGGCTTCGAAGTATTTGTCGTTCTCGATTCTCATGGATGAGCTGGTTTAGAATGCTCAAAGTGCAAAATACTTTGCAGTCAAAGAATTGAAAACTTATTTCCGGGCAGGAAAGTGCTATTTGGGCGGGGAGCGAAAGCCCGCCTTCTTGAGAGCGATTGGCTCGTGGAGTCCAAGCGGGTGGGAATACCCCACCCAACTCGGTTACGATTGGATTACTGGCTCCAGCAGCCGTTCTACGAAGAGGCCTTAGCTTCCCGCCAAGCGGCAGCTTTCACGTACAGAAAAGCGAGTTAATGATATTTGTGCAAGCTGTGAAGCACAGGTTCAGACTCAGCTCATCCCAGGAGAGTCGAGAACGACGCCGAGCCACTGCCTTTGAGTTATAAATAAGATAGTCATGGGCACCCTGGTCAAGAAAGTACTTCTTATTCAATTTAATGAGATCACATTTTTGTTATTTGCCCGTAGTAAACCCCCTCCCAGCCCAACTCGGCTGGGAGCGGGCCTGCGTTGAACGTAGAGCGCCTCAGTCCGGCATCCGGTGAGCCATCGATCCGGATTCGGATCGCTTTTCAGACCCAAAGATCTTGTGCGTTCTCAAAAAATGAACCACTTGAGTGGTCCGGTCGAGAGGCAGTGCATGGGTTTCAATGAGAAAGTCAATGGTTCAAAGCCGGCTAGTGGCACATTTTTGCGCCACCGCAGGACAATCTTTGATAGCGGCCGCTATCGAGAAAAATCCATGGCGAGCGCAGTCGAAGATATCGCCAAGCAAACGATGGATAAAACAAAATTACCAAATTTTGGCGAGGAATTCATGATAAACGAAAATTTTTGAACATGGAGCAAATAAAAAAAAATCAAAAAATCTTTGTTTCAAGCAGTTTTTGAAGAAAAGTAGTCAAGCTCTGAAAAAAGAAGAAATCCTAGAAATCCTGTTTTCTCTTTTTTTCGCCGCAATCAGCTTTTCATCGATCCTCTCCCATTTAGGCCACCGAAAACGTGCAATTTTGGGAGTTTTGCACCGCAAGAATACGTCGGCTAGATTGTCCCGTAAGTTACTCACGAGCAACTTACGGGAAATTTGTCTGATCCTCCTCTTAAGCACACTATTTCTCTCGGGTCACCCTAAAATTCAACCTCGGATAGGTGACATTCTGGTGAACTGACTGTGACACTTGACCAGACAGTCTTCTGACTGTTGAACTGACTATCCTAAAGCACGGGAAGGTGGGCGGGATTAGGGTCACCCGAGGAAGTTCTTCTGAATGACTAATCTCAAGTCACCTGAGATGAATGGGGGTCTACTACGGGCCATTATCTGAAAGAGCTTTTACGCTCTATGCATCCAGTCTTTCACCTCATTGCATTCTATCTGTAGAAATTAGTAAACATGGTTTTTGGGTCCCCATTGGGTCAAAAAATCGCAGGGATGCCCTCAAACACCCGGAGGAACTTCTCGAACTTCTTGAAAGCTCCACTTTAGGGATTTTGGCAAAGGAGCGATAGTGCGTTGCTAGAATGAGTAAAAGCCATTTATATGAGTGACGTTTCAGTTGTTGTCGTTACTAAAAATTGAAACCTCAAATTGGAAAAAGGTTTGAGGTGCTCCTTGATTCCCGATGACCCATACTTCTATTGCTTGATTCAAAGGTAAAGATTTTGACAGTGATCGCCAGGAATGGAATTTTTGTTTTTTTTTTCTGTTTTATTGATCGCACACACTCATCAGCTTGACTGAGATAAGGTTTAACTCTTTTGGTACAAAATGTTTGTTGATAGGCGAATCAAATGGCCTTCCTAAAAAATACTGGCGATGAATAGGGAGCAGTTACGAATTTTTTAGAATCAAAGTGGAGGAACTTTGAATCAATCTAATAGAATTAACTTTTGAAGCTTGACAAGCGAGCTATGAATATCAGGGATCAGAATTTTCATGAAATGTTCAGAGCCGTAAGATTTTGTGCTTTCATAATAATTTTTACAAATATGCAGCGCTCGTTCCAAGAATTATAAACGAGATGGAAATAAACCGCATTTTTGTGCATTAGACAAATGGTTAGGACAATGTAATTCAAGGCTTAGCATGCGAAGCTTTTTTTGGGAGGGGGAGGGGGGTGGTGGACGCTGCAAAATGTTCCATCTGCGCTTGTTATGCAAAGTACGAATATCAAAGATTGGTGAATGTTCTGCTACCATTTTTGTTGTTTTCATGAATATGCAGTATGTATAAGCAACAATTCGAGGACGAAAATTCTATCAGAGATTAGCACTTTTCTCAACGGAAGAGAGAAACTTAATATGTTGAGAAGGTGGAAATTTTTCCTTGATCATATGCAAATCGTGAACATTTAGATATAGTACCCATTTATAAAGAGACCGCAAAAACTTAGAAGATGTCAATTTCCTGAGAATTTTTTTTGCAATGGTGAGTTAGCGAATCAAAATGTGATATTTAGTAATATTTGACTATCTTTCTTGTAGAAAATCGTGATTTGGTTTTTAGCTGCTACGCTTATTGCTGGATGCATGGCGCAGATCGCTGTCAGTAGAATTTTGGATAGATTTCCATGATTGTACTTGATTTTTCAGGACCTACGCCGCATTATTAAAGATCCCCTTCACATAATTCACAAGCGCGACTTTCGTAACCCCTTTCAAAATAGAAGTCCTCAACAGCAAAACGATCGCGGGCAACAAATGGCACAGCAATTGCAACAACAACTGCAACAACAAATGCAACGACAAATGCAACAACAAATGCAACAGCAACAGCAGCAACAGAGGCCACAGCAGCAAGGAGGACAACGATGGCAGGGACAAGGAAACAACATGGGAGGAGGGCTTTGGAATGGGAACGGTTGGAACGGCAATGGACGAGAAAGATTGATTTGAAGGGTGAAAAAAATGATTTTTCCGATTTTTTCATCTCATAGATTTCGTATAAACTCTTCTCAGAACTATAATCAAGGAGGGGGCTGAAAAAAAGAAAAATAAAGACAGCAGTAACATCTCCGTTCGTACACCTTGCCCTTTCTATACCGCAGAAAGGATGGCGCACTTAATGCGGTATAGACTCCGTGAAGCATGTGCAATATAAGGGATATTCACCTAACATCTATAAGCTGCACTACGTAGTATATGTCCCTAAAGTGAATTCCATTTTCATTTAAGTTGAGCTGTTTTTATTCTCCTAGTAGACTTAAGGTACCATTCAATAAAGCGGAGCAAGCTCTACAAAAAAAGCCACCAAAGATCCACCTAAGCTGTAATCTAGGTAAAATTTGGGGCCAAAAATCAAAATTTTATAGCTACCCTAAAAATCGGACCCCCTTTTTAAAAAATTCGTACGGTCTTTCAATTTGGTCTTTATATAGTAGACACATAGTAGTACCCGAAAATGAATTTGGCGGATTCTTTCCGGGGCTCAAAAAAGATGGTCCAAAAATGCCAAAATGCCACTTTTTCGCGTTTTTCATGTAAAACTTGGTATTTCTCGATTATAAGAGCACATACAGGGGTAAGGTTATGGAATTATACTTAGTAAGGCTACTAATTATACTTAGTAAGGTAGTATACAATGACATAAGTGGGAGGGGCTGGGGGCGGAGTTTAACATTTTTAAACAATTTTTGTTCCTCACTTTCTATTCTCGGAAAAAATTCGGCAAAGGCATATTTGAGTACTAGTATGTGCCTACTGTATAATGACCAAGTTGGAGTTCTGTAGGAATCTTTCTCGCAGAAATCCAATTTTTAGGCGACAAAATTTTTACCGATTTTGGCTTCAAAATTTCCATGGAATGCGGCTTAGGCGGATCCTCAGTGGATATTTTTTGAGCTTAATCTGCTCTATCGAATGATACCCTAAGTCTGCTGGGAAAACAAAAACACCTCAAATTATTTGAAAAAAAGGATTACCTTTGGGACAACCTAAAAGTATTTAGATAGGAGCACATCCTAAATAGATATGGTTTGTGATACAAAGTAAATTTCAAATATAAAAATACGTTATTGATACTGGGTAGTTTAGGTTTGTATGTGATTTGAATTTTTCTCCTCATATGCTACCTATCTACTTGCTCAATCAATAGTCTATCCAGCGAAAAACCTATTCAATTCGCTGACATTTTGTTTGCTCAAACTGTCAAACGTTAAAGAAGGACTTGTTGAGAAAGATAAAGACATGGACAATTTGGGTGTCAATTGCCACATTGTACCACCCTGTTGGCGGCAATACCAGTGTAGTCTCCATAATTAAGTAAATCGGTCAACACCATCTTCTTAAAACTCACTGTTCTTAGAAGACATCATGGAAATACCCCTCCTCCCCCCTCTCTCTCTTTGAGCGCACCCTAATTTATAGAATACTATGAAAAGCATTAGTTTCTTGTACTAATTAGATATTTTCTTCCCCAATCAAAAATTGAAATTGAACCACAGATTTTCTGTACAGCGCCAACTTCCACCTAATTCTGTTTGCGGCTACCAGCGCGGTATTTCATGCTTTTAAAGGCAGCGGCTCGGCAGAATAGACCTACCTCAGAATTTGACATAGATGGATAGGAGGCCTTTCAAGTGAACCAGAAGAGCAACACCGGGCCGAAAATGTGAATTCTGCAAGCCAGGGCGGCGAGCCAAGCTCCGCTCCCCTTCCTCCTTTCGCTCCCCTAACACCTTGTGCGGACGAGTATGTTTGACGCTAGAAAACGCGCAGTCACTCGTAGCTTCGTAGAGTTCTCTACCTCCTCATTCTGAGTCTCTGACGGTAGAGAAAAACGGCTCACTCGTGTGCGCCCGTCTCAGGAAGGATTTCAAAAGACGGGGTTTTCCTCATTTTCGCGCCAAGGGGAGTTTATATCGTGATTAAGGGGGCCGGAATAGCTCCAAATCTGCCAGAACCCCAAAGTCGAAAATCTGCCGAGCCGCAGTTAAGACGTCATTGTAGAAAAGGGTGTGTAGTGAACAGAACTGATTTGGGCAAAAAATGAATCAGCACAGCTAGTTTATAGGTACGGTTGTTGAGGTGTGGCAACGCTGAAAAAAACCGAATGTGTTAAATTACTACCGACGCATTCAATATTCCTCTGAACGGAAACTTAAATAAATGCGTGCAAAACGCCTTTTAAACTTACCTATAGTACCCGAATATACCCTATAATTACAAGTAAAAAACACACCATTTTCCATTTTATAGGAGCAACTCGACCACACACTGTGTCTTTCCAACTGATCGCTCTCCCACAAGATTCTATTGGGTGAGGAGCATTACGATAGAGGGTTCCATGATAGCAAAACTCTTTAATGCGTCTAGGCTGGTCCAATTTATCAAAAAGTAGGTGCTCTTGTACACGTAAAATCAGGGTACTCAACAGTGCGCTATAGAACTTTTGCTACAGTAATTCCGAATTTCATTTTGAATTTTGAACACTCAACGAAACTGTAAACCTGACTTTGTATTCAAATTCAGTGCTCTTGCGATAAGTTCGGCTTAACATAACCGGAGGAACTAAAATATATCTACTTATTTTTTTTTAGCTATCTTTCCTTGCTTCAAAAAAGCACAAGTTTTGAATAAAATACAAGTAGAGCTAAGAAATCATTGACTTTCGTCGTATTAGGTATCAGTTTTAAGCTAAAATAAAAAAAAAGACTTCGGATTCCCGAAAAAACGAAAATAATTGTATTTCTATTCAGAACAATCCTGAGAACTTCTTACACGCTCACGCATATGCTCTCGCTATAAGATAATTATGTTTACACTTGGTGCGTTTTTCTAAAGACTAGAAATCAAGAAAAAACAATGCGCTAGAATTTCCACTTTGCTTGTAGCGATTCTGTGTTTCTCGGAAATATTCGAATATAAAGCTTATTCACTAATACTGACACGGATTGCAGCCCTGTAGGTGTCATAATTCTTGAGACCAGTCTGAACGTTCAAAAATGGAAAGGCTTATGGGACAGCCTAATATCTAACAGGAACACAATCATACAGTGTGCTCTCGATGCTTTCTGGTCAGAAAGCCTTAAAAACGTAGAGGTTGTGTTGAAGAAAACTGTCTGGGCAAAAGTAAAATTCTTCAGGTTGCAGATCCATTTCCTGTTAGGTGCAGCATCGGACTGACGCGGATGCCTTAGAACTGCAAAATTATAACTCAAGGCTAATGCAAATGCTTCATTTTCTTTTTGCAAAAGCACTGTTCACTCAAATTTAATATGTTTCGATGCTATAGTATAGTGGTCCCAACATTAGGCAGTTTTCCATGTCGTACTGCGAAATGTTGTTTTCGAGAAGGGAAAACAGCTTCGAAAGGAAGGATTTCGCACTGTCAGCACCGACATGAGGAGGAGCTATTCTCCTTGGTCCACTAGTCGTCCTATAGTATGTAAGTCCTACGGCTATTGACTAAATAACGTGAGGAACGCCATGCACTAGTAAAGCTTCTCCTATAAGCTTTCTCAAAAAGCGAATTTTGCCATGTAGAAAGCAAAGTGGAAAAATTAGAGCATTGCTTCGTGGTCTGGTAATTTAGTAAATCAAAGTTGCTTCTTTGCCACGAATTTGACCACATTTTAGTAGTTCTGAATATGATCAAAATTGAGCAGCTAAAGATCGCTGAGGAACGGAGTGCTTGTGAAAAATTCCGTCTTCCAGAACGGCTATTGGCTTACTGGCGAGCCCTGTGCGAATGGCCTCGCCGACGAATCCTCAAGGAAAACTTTCTTTATAACAACCGAGAAGGATGAATTTGGCCGGAGCAGCTTGATAGATATGTTGAGGTTGAAGTGTTTTCTCGGTTCCTCCAGAATTACAAACCCTGAAGAGCTTTTTACCATACTTGCAAATTCACTCATCAGCATGCATGCCACTTCAACTACATTTGGTGCGACAATGAATTAATTCTCTTAATTTGAAATTAATTGGAATAATAGTCAAGCTTTGAGTCGTATTAGCTTCTTATGTCAGGGATAGATGCCGTGGTGGATATAGGTTATAGGCAATTTGCCCTTGCACAGCGGTGGTACAGAAAAATTGCCCGGAATTTGTTTTAGTTATTGCAACTTGTCCTATTAGTAGTCGTTCTAATAAACTCTTTTATTACTTCCTCTATTTTCCCCTTTGCATCCACCCTCGCAATAACAAATCCGGTCAGTGCGTGCCAGTTACAGTTCTCGCGAGCCTTCCCTGTTTCTTCTTTTCTGCAAGAACACCCTCCTGTAGGTTGCAGAAAGGAGTGGGACTAAAATTCGAGTGGATAATAAAGTTGTGGAATTTTTATGCTTTCAATTGCTGTTTTTTCTTTCACACTGACATAAAAACATGAATTTTGCTGCATCAAATAAGCCAGCTTTTTATGCAGCAGATAAGAAGATGTGGAGAATTTGCGATTCAGACTTTATTCATGTAGAATTTTCTTCCTGAAGCTTATACAATAGGATATTCAAAGCGCTAGAATTCTGTTTTCCCATATTTGGTGTTTTTTTCAGAAATGCAGCACAAGCATTCAAAGTCGTAAAGAGTTAAAAATAAACCACCATTGACAGACCAACAGTAACGAAGCTGCAAAATAGATCCTAACATGCAGATTTTTTGGGGAGAGGTAACTGAAGTGTTTTTCTTGGGGCTTGACATGCACAGTATGACACAAATTTGAAGCCATGAAATTTTTTGCTTCTGTTTCTGCTCTTTCTATACATATGCAGAAGCGTTCTACAATTCAAATGGCGATTTTTGCTACATCAAAAATAACCCACTATATGCAGATGAGGAAAAGTTTATGTGTTGAAAGAATTGAATATTTTTGTTTACTTTGAATTGCAAATCATGTTGATCTGAATAAGCTTAAAGCCGTGAGATTTTTGTGTTTTCGTATCTGTCTTCATAAATAAGTTACAAAAATTGGAAGAAACCGTTTTCGAGAGGCTCTATTGAGATGGTGAGTTGGTAACTCAAAATGTAACATTTCGGGTTTCCTACATGTCTTCGCCCTTGCAGAATACCCCGATATGGGTTTTGGTTGCTACGCTTTTTGCCGAATGCGTTATGGCAAGTATTTTCGTAATCAATGGAGGCATCAGCAAAGACAACGCTCAATGGCAACAGCTAGCACAGCAGCTGCAACAAATGCAACAACAACTTCAACAACAGAGGCACCAACAAGCTCAACAGCAAGGGGGACAAACATTCCAAATAGGAGCATGGAATTTTCAACCAGGACCAAACCAAATTCCCCTATCTGTGGTCTTGGAAATTGAGCGGTGAATGAAGCGACTGATACAGGAATATAGAGTTTTCTTTGAAGGTGAAAAATGAAATAAAGCTAAATTTCCTGTATCGTGTTTATTGCAATTTAACCAATACAATATCGCTCACATTTTTTGAAAAATAGACGCGAATGTATGGACATGTATGGACATGTCCATACATGGCCATACATTCGTCGCGTGGCCATATCTCGCTTCAGAGTGGACGATCTCCGAATCCAAAGCCACCATTCAATTCAGCTCGGCGCGGAGAATCTTCTTATATAATGTAAGTGGGGGTGCGATGTTTTCGATATTCCGTTTTCAGTTTTTTAATTTGTTCTGCGGAGGTCCTTTCGCGAATATGTGAAGCAACGCCTACCCAACATAGAAGACTTTACTAAGTACTATTCGATAATACTGTTCTTGTAGATTATTGCGCTAAAAAGTAGGCTCAGACTTCTTTTCAAAGGAGATAGAAGCGTTGGTCAATTTTGGAAAAATCACACGTTTTTAAATTCTACTCGCCATAACTTCCTTCGGAACAAGTATATTTTTGATCCGAAAACAGCGCCTTGCTCAGCTCATCAAGGCGAATCTTCTCATTTACGGCATGTCCTTAATATTTCGATTTCAGTATCCTTGAATCTTTCTGAGGGCGTCTTTTCGCGAAGGTGTAAAGCAGCGAGCTACATTCCAGCAAAGATATTTCGATAGCACTTTTTCTGTAGATTATAATGTGCTAAACAGTAGCCGCAGCTTTCTTTTCAAAGGAAGTAGAACGGCGAGTGAATTGTGGAAAAATCTTGTCGTCCCAAATTCTACTCGCCATATCCGCAGGATACGAAGCTATCTTGCTAAGCAGATGTGAGTTTCGAAATCAGCAGGTCGCATAACCTCTACGAGCAAGTTTTCCGATATGTTCGGGTTATTCCATTTTTTCTCGTTTTAATTTTACGGAAGCTCGCCGATGGGTTTTGGTCAAAATGTTGATGCTCTTGAATTGTAGGGGAACTTCGCTTATAGAGGTTTTCGAACACGCTCTTTACGAAAGTCGTGGTCTTTGAGAATTACAGGGTCTTTTTGGAGAGATACGGTGAGGTGACTGTAACTGCATCACGAAAGTGCGTAATTTTGGCCACATTTCTCGTGTATCTGTCAAAAACCTTGCCTGCTTGCTTTTCTCAGTCAAAGTTACTAGGAATTGTGCTATCAATGGTGCATTACTCAGGCTCCAGTCTGTGAAATTCCGAGTTACGAGCCTACGAAAGCACGTTCTCATGAATTTTGCCCAAAATGTAAAGATCGCATATCTCGTCGAAATTCCTCCATGGCTTGTACAACGCGCTGATCAACTCCTTTCACATTTTTATTTATTTATTTATTTATTTATTCTATACGCTCTTGGCGTTCCAAACAATAGAATAGAAAGCAGTCATTTATACTCTAACCGCAACGATAGTGCCTTCATTAGTTTAGGTCTAATCTTGATAAAAATGTGATGAATGCTTGTATTTGACTGCTCTATGATTATAATTATCGGAATTAAATGATGCGATTCATGGAGATGTACCCATGCCCCCTTTGCCAGCAAAATACTTTGATTTTAACAAGCAAACAAGATTTGATGGTGGATATATTATCTGACCCCACCAAACCAGTAAACCAGTGTGAGCCAGCGACTCCAAGTGAATTTCAATATGGGTTGCAATGATGGATAACTCATACGTGATCAAGTGCGTGATCAAGTTAGGTTATTGTAATCTATGGAGATGGCAATCATGCCAACTCGTTTGCCAGCAAAAGATGCTCTTGCAATAATGAAGCAAAGCGGGGCTCGATTGGTGCAGTAATACCAAACAACCTTGCCCAAATGATTCCGGGGAGAGTCCAACGACTCCGAAAGAATATCAAATATTAGGTCGGTGCATCAAATATTAGGTCGGTGCAAAAGTTCTTTCCCACCAAATTTAAAAATTCATAACTTGTTGAATTCTCAACGAATCTGCAAGATCTAGATTTTGTATCAGAGAAGAACTCATGTTCTTTGCAAGTGTACTTGAACTGTTCGTTAATGTATACAAATGAAGGAGATAGAAGCTGAAAACCAAAATCACTCAAAATTTGAATTTTTCGTACAAGGTCATAAAAATTCTGAGACTTGCAACAAAAATCGGAGCAGTCAGTATTGTAGGTTCTCTCACCAGCTCTTTCTAACAGTGCAAAGTTTGCGCCGATTGACCGTCCTTACGAAAAATTATGATTTTCCTGAAAAATGCCAAGATAAATCAAATTCGCCCTTTTCTATTGCTTGCTCGAAAATCGGAACTTTCAATAGAGAAGCTCTATCGGCGCAAACTTTGCACTGTTAGAAAGAGCTGGTGAAAGAACCTACAATACTGAATGCTCCGATTTTTGTTGCAAGTCTCAGATTTTTTATGACCCTTCACGAAAAATTCAAATTTTGAGTGATTTTGGTTTTCAGCTTCTATCTCCTTCATTTGTACACATTAACAAACAGTTCAAGTACAATTGCAAAGAACATGAGCTCTTCTCTTATGCAGAATTTAGATCTTGCAGATTCGTTGAGAGTTCAACAAGTTATGAATTTTTGAATTTGGTGGGAAAGAACTTTTGCACCAACCTAATAGTTTCACTTTTTGTAATTCATTTGAGAACAAGTCAACAAGCTGTAATGATTGGGAAGAGAAGTGAATTGATTAGACCTGAACTAACATGATAGCAAGATATGGGTTAGTAAGACATTTGAAAGAAAATAATATTAAAAAACACACAAATTGATGGTTGTATTTGGTATGCATTTTGTGGTCGGATAATGTAATCGCACATGGCCAACTATAGCAATACAGATGACGAATTGGTGCTATTCATTACTCATTCTCAGAATGCCTCAAACGTAAGAGTTTAAGTGTGTTGATTCTGCGTTTAAAAACATTCGTGCTCTGAGATTGTAAAATATCTGGAATCTCTCAATGAATCTTATTGTGTTACATTTGGTGCTTTGAGCTCTAGTCACGAAATAGCTTTGATATTCAATTGAGCAACTGAAGCAGACCAAGCACCATGTTCAGTACAGTGGGAGTCGTTTGACGAAGCGAACGTAATATTTGCAACGAGTGTTATGCAAACGCTCACGGAGGAATTTCGACGAGATATGCGATCTTTACTTTTTGGGCAAAATTCATGAGAACGTGTTTTCGTAGGCTCGTAACTCGGCGAATTTCACAGACTGGAGCCTGAGTAATGCACCATTTGATAGCACAATTCCTAGTAACTTTGACTGAGAAAAGCAAGCAGGCAAGGTTTTTGACAGATACACGAGAAGTGCGGCCAAAATTACGCACTTTCGTGATGCAGCTACAGTCACCTCACCGTATCTCTCCAAAAAGACCCTGTAATCCTCAAAGACCACGACTTTCGTAAAGAGCGTGTTCGAAAACCTCTATAAGCGAAGTTTCCCTACAATTCAAGAGCATCAACATTTTGACCAAAATCCATCGGCGAGCTTCCGGAGCGTAAAACGAGAAAAAATGGAATAACCCGAACATATCGGAAAACTTGCTCGTAGAGGTTATGCGACCTGCTGATTTCGAAACTCACATCTGCTTAGCAAGATAGCTTCGTATCCTGCGGATATGGCGAGTAGAATTTGGGACGACAAGATTTTTCCACAATTCACTCGCCGTTCTACTTCCTTTGAAAAGAAAGCTGCGGCTACTGTTTAGCACATTATAATCTACAGAAAAAGTGCTATCGAAATATCTTTGCTGGAATGTAGCTCGCTGCTTTACACCTTCGCGAAAAGACGTCCTCAGAAAGATTCAAGGATGCTGAAATCGAAATATCAAGAACATGCTGTATATGAGAAGATTCGCCTTGATGAGCCGAGCAAGGCGCTGTTTTCGGATCAAAAATATACTTGTTCCGAAGGAAGTTATGGCGAGTAGAATTTGAAAACGCGTGATTTTTCCAAAATTCACCAACGCTTCTATCTCCTTTGAAAAGAAGTCTGAGCCTACTTTTTAGCGCAATAATCTTTCTATGTTGGGTAGGCGTTGCTTCACATATTCGCGAAAGGACCTCCGCAGAACAAATTGAAAAAACTGAAAACGGAATATCGAAAACATCTCACCCCCACTTACATTATATCAGAAGATTCTCCGCGCCGAGCTGAATTGAATGGTGGCTTTGGATTCGGAGATCGTCCTCTCTGAAGCGAGATATGGCCACGCGACGCTGGTGTATGGACATGTCCATACATGTATGGACATGTACGGACATGTACGGACATGTCCGTAAATGTCCATACATGTCCATACATTCGCGTCTATTTTTCAAAAAATGTGAGCGGTATTGTATCATATGTAGAAGTTTGTCACTGATGCTAGATAGTTGTGACATAGTTTATGGGGTGTGGTACAACAAAAAAGTTATGGCGGCCACACCTTTTTTGAAGTTGTGCCGACCCCATTAATTTACCTTCAAAAACATTTTTTGCTAATAACTTTTATATGATCCGATAGCCTAAACCTCTAGATTTCATGATCATGGATTAAACCCGACTTGTTTTTTTCTGCTCTGAGTAAGAGTTGGTGAAAGCACAGCCACTAAAACCGAAAAATGGACAAGATTTTGGCTTTCTTCTAACAAGCTCTTATAAGTCTTATAGCTCTACTACTACTCTCTACTCTCTCTACTCTTACTACTCTACTACTCTCTACTCTTATAGCTCTTATAAGTCCAAAGTTTGGCAGATTATTTAACGGGATTTCCGAGGTGGGCAAAAACGATGTAATGTTTTCTACTGAATGCAATAGAGGTAATTAATTTACTTTTGAAACAAGGTTAAGCATTTTCAAATTGACCCCACTCAGGTGATTTAGTCTTTTGAAACGTCAGATTCCGCTTAAACTCGGTACATTTAAGCTATTTGACATGCTAATTATGGATATATTACTCTTTATGTTTGATGCTTGGTAGAGACTCTTTATTATACCA